CATCACAGTGCTTGCAAAATCGCTAATAAAGACAACTCACAAGCCCTGTATAAAAGGTGCTGTTTTTGTAATCTATAGAGTCAAATTGCAGTAGTGCATTTTCTCTTTCTGATAAGCAACAAGCGGGCTTAAAAGTAGACATCTCTAGTGCTTTCCTAATCTTTATTCTTTTTATAGATGAAGAAGACGTATGTGCCAGAATAGGACAATGCAAGCTCGAAAACAGACATTGACAAGACTGCTTTCGAGAGGTAAGTTTCGATAAATCATGAATCTCAATCAACTGCTGATATAAAGTTTTGGATGGCAGAGTGGTACTCTACCACTCACTCTGTCTGAGATATTGCATGTTTTCCTACTTCACTGACACAGCCCAAAGAAAGGCAAATGAAAGTCTGCATCTTCTCCTCTTCTGGCACCAACAAGAGTCCCATTTCAAGCCAGGGAATACTTTTCTCAATGACAAACACCCTCACATCTGAGCTCCCTCTGCCTGAACTAATTCGAATAAATCAGGGCTCTTATCAGCTGTCCTCTGTTACTTGGGATTTCCTGGCAAATGAGAGTCTGTGTTTTGACAACTAGATGTGCAGGTGGCTTGGCTAACTGACTGCAGTAATGTGTGCTGGGGTTCAAATACATTTCAGGAACTGTAATGACAGAGGAACGAATATCCATATCTAGCATAAGGCAAACAGAGCAGCACTGCTGCTGTGTATTTAATAATGTATATTTCATTGTATTTGCTAATGTATTTAATAATTCTAACTTCAATATTGTGTGAACTGAGAAAACCAAATGCTTTGGCACATTCTGCAAAGAACTCTGTGATTTTTTTTATTGCAATATGAAGGGATTTGTTCAGATTTCTTAAATGCCAACAATGAAACAATTATTAAAATTATAACCCTTTTACGCCTCTGTAGTTCCATTAATTAGACATCTTTGTGCATTTTTAATTTATTACAGATAAAACCACCCGTCTCTGATTCCCATGTGTATCTTTATAAGCTCTGTATCTACCGTTATTTAATTTCAATTAATAACACTTGCACTATCACTTCAACTGGGTGAAGACTATATGAAATCCCTGGTTGTTAATCCAGTTTAACCCATCTTTCTCTGTGCTGCTTGAACCAGAGTTGTTGTAGAATAGGACCTGCTCAACTCTAAGGAAGTACAGAGTCAAATCATCATTATTGTGTCAATAAAAAATTCATTATTTTCATATGAACAAGGTTGTGCAGTGAAAAATTGATGAAATTGATGAAGTCAGTAAAAGAAGGCCAGAATATCACCCGAAGGTTTTTCAATTTAGACTGAAGCTCAAGTACAGTACCATCCACAGACAGGGTTACAGGATTGGCTTTACAAAGTTGATGGGGGGTGCTAATAAGCATGACTTCAGTCTTGTCACAGTTAAGATTAAGGAAATTCTGAGTCATACAAGTTTTTATGTCAGAGATGCAATTAGGTAGAATAGAGACAGCCACATTAGTGTCAGGTTAGGTTTGGATGTATAGTTGAGTATCATCAGCATAGCAATTATAGTTGATGCCATGTGATCCGTAAAAGCTGACCAAGTGGAAACATATAAATGCTGAAAAGTAAGGGGCCCATTATTGAGCCCAGAGGAACACCAGATTTAATGAGACCAATTTCAGCCAAGAGAGACAAAGTGACAGCGATTAGACTTGAACCATTTGAGAACAGTTTCAGAAACTCCAAACAGTCTCCAGATGAGAAAGTAGGAGATCAAGAAGAATGAGGATAGAAAGAGAACCCGAATCAGAAGCTATTAACAAAACCATTTGTTTTGGAGTTCAACTTGAATGGGATATATGTTGGCTTTCAGGATAAATGTGCACTGTAACTGAGACAGGTCTTGCAGTAAAATAAGACTTTTATGGCGACATCACTATCTAGGACAGTAGCCTTTTAGAGGACTGGGTTTTCTGCAGTTTGTAAGGATGGTACAAGTTTGGCACAGAGAGTAGATAGAAACCTCGATCTAATCGCATGTAACACCACCTAAAGTGTGTAACAAATTTCATCCTGTTTTATAACTGCCCTTGGTCTCTTAAAAGCATTCAGATCCATTGAACCAGGTCTTCAGTTTAAAGGGTTTCATGCATGTTTAGACTAACACACACTCAGGACTGCACTGTACCTGTGATAGCAGCAAACTGCCTCAAGACATTTCTAAAAACAGATGACTGCACTCATTATGTAAGTAGATATGGCTTGGGGAAGCAATTAAGAACAAAAACCTTGAATTATTTCTGAACACCCACACAGTATTTAATCAACTCTCCCCACCTATTTACATCAAAGTACTTGGAAGATCTGGTCTGGGTTCAGCACTGGTAAATTATGGATGAGCACATTATTGCAGTAGGAGAAAGCTGCACAGAGGCAAAAGCAGGCATATAAGGTACATACAAACCAAATTTGATTAGTTTTAAAAAGCTAGTTTCATAGCATAACCTTTTGATGGGCATTACAAGGTTGTTGCTGGAATAAATTCTTTTGTGAGGCTGGGAGGTGTGTCAAGTACTGTATAGCAGAGATAGGGATTCATGCATCTGACTAGCCCATTACAGGTGGTATACTATATGTGCTCAAATGCTCAGACTTAAGCTATCTTGCTCAATTTAAAATCAGGCAATGAAATGACTGGAGTGACTAAACCAGTCCACTGTCTTCCTAAGTTACTGGAAAGTCTTTCTTCAATGGGTATCTCATAGGGTACAGAAGTAGTTTTCTCCTGGCGTGTCTCTTTGCAGCAGAGCAGAGGTCATCTTAGTCTCATGGAGGAGAAGTGCGTCAAATGGCTTTTTGACATTGTTGGCCCATACTCGTCCACTATCTGGATAGTACCAGCGTGACATTTTCTACTTTCTGGTTGTAAGTGGTCTCCACTCTGGTATGGACTCCTCCCTCTAGGAGCTCACAGGAGCTGCTCTTGCAGAAGCCTACACAGACCTCTTCCTTCTCCTAATCTTTCCTTGTGCACACAACTGAAACACACCGTTAACTCCACAGACCCCGGTTTTCTGCATCTTCACTACTTACTAAACTCCTTCCCTCAGCACCCCCTTTTCTCCCAGCTGACCCGGTTTGGCCCAGGATGCCTTTCTAGAACAAGGGCTGTCATCCCTGACACAGAAGCAGTTGGGATTGACGTTTCCTAACTCTCTCCAATTCTCAATTTCCGACTGCCCATCTGCGTGCAGCACTTACAGAATGGCTCGAGGAGAACTCACTATTAAGATCATACTATCCTCTCACTTTCAACTGTTATGAAAGAATAACAATAATATCCTTTTACTTACAGTATATAGAGCTTTTTTGGACCCTCCACTCAGGACACTTTACAGGTAATGGAGATAACCTCCACTACCACCTGTGTGCGGCCCCACCTGGATGATGTGACGGCAGCCATACTGCACCAGTACGCTCCCCACACACCAGCTATCAGTGGGGAGGAGAACACAGTGATGAAGCCAGTTCAGAGATGGGGATTATAAGGAGGCCAATGGGAAATTTGCTCAGGACACCAGGGTAACACCCCTAATTGTTTCAAGAAACGCTCTGGTATTTTTAATGACCACAGAGAGTCAGGACCTTAATTTTATGTCTCATCCAAAGGATGGTGACGTTTTACAGTATAGTGTCCTTGTCACTTTACTGGAGCACTAGGACCCACACAACCCACAGGGTGAGCGCCCCCTACTGGCCCCACTAACACTTCCACCAGCAACCTTGTTTTTCAGGAGCAGTTTTTCCCAGGAGGTCTCCCATCCAGGTACTGACCAGGTTTACAGTGGGTCGGCTATTGTGAGTTGATATGCAGTAGCTGCTGGCTAAGGGTAACCTATGCCAGAGTCACATACTGTAGCGTCGTCTCTCACCCTCACACCTCACACCAGAGGTTCCACTCTCTTGCTATACCGATTAGACACAGATTGAACCTCTTTTCCCTAGCTGATCTTATAAACCTCTTAGTCACCTAGAGGAGTCCCTAATTCCACACAGAGCCTATCCTGACAGTTCCTTTGGAATTTCCTCACATAGAATTTTACTCCCTCTGAGCGATGAAGACTCACTCAGAAAAGCTGTGTATTATTCTACAGCTTTTCTCACGTAACAGGAGTTTTTAAATGATAAGATTTAAACAGCCACTACACAGTAAATGAACTACACAGTTAATTTTATCCATTTACTAAATACAGCTCAAATAATTCTGAAGCCATGTCCTCTTAATTGGCTGTAAATGATTTAATCCAATTATTTAAATCCAGATAGATGAATAAACACAATAATTCAAGGTGCGTGATATTAACAAGTCATCAAAAAAACACTTGAAAAACATCACTACAGGTGCTGTGCTCGTAATTCTACCTAGCACAAAATTAAAAATGTGTCATGTTTTGATTTATTACTAGATTTTAATTTATTCAAGAAGAAAATAGATGAACAGGCTAATGGATAAAAAAAATCATTATGTTTTTAGCTTGTGACTCAAGGATGACATGCCACAAAGCAATTTAATTTTGTCCAGGGTTCCTGAGTGCAGTAGACATTTAACAATGAAATTAGACAAGGAAGAAGTTTAACCTTGACAGAAGCAACCAGTTTCCACAATGTGCTTACTCTTTTTTTTCTAACCGATCAATGAGTGTCCAATTCACTAAAGCTTCTGAAATACAATAGCAGTGACCTCCCGCGTTCTGTCTGACTAACACCATAAATTATTTTGATCAGTGGCAAGTTTACTGTCAATACATCTAAGCGGGAGGTTGATATTATTTCTGACTGAGGGACATCTTCTCAAAAAAGCTCCCAATAATTACTTTTAAAGGTGCAAAAAATGTTTTGTTACTCAATTATGATGATTTCCCCCAACCCTAACCAAAATAATGAGATTCACATCTGAAGATATCATGCATACTCCTCCTAAAAATTATAAATATTTATATATAAAAGAAAAACCGACAAACAGCAGGTCCATTTAATGTTTTAGACTTATAGTGTTTCTTTGCTGCTGGGGTTCTTGATATCCATAGCTTCATGGTTTAAAGACCTTGCATGAGTTAAAACCTTGAAAAAATATTGAATGACCTTTTTGTCATTTTTTTATCCCATCCAGTATATTTAATCTCTTTCTCTGTGAGTTCTTGTCATATCTTACTTTTTTCATAGGTTTGTCTGTTGGGACTATATGAGTGTTGAAATAAGACCCTATTAGGTACATCAGGCTTGGTTTTAATCTTTGTCACTTGCTCTGTATTTAAGCATCCTCTGCATAGAGGTGAAACGTTTTAACTGAAAGCAAATGTGCATATTTGTTGTGCATATCACAGATGACCTCACTTGGACCATCAACACCACCTCACTAGCTAAAAAAAGCACAACAACGTCTCCACTTCCTGCGGCGACTGAGAAGGTCAAACCTTCCTCCCATACTATCCACATTCTATACAGGTACCATCAAGAGCATCTTGACAAACTGTATCATTGTTTGGTTTGGGAATTGTAAGGTCTCAGACCACAAGTTCCTGCAACGAATTGTCAATACAGCAGGAAACCTCATTGGAGCCTCCCTTCCACCCACTCAGGACATCTATAGTACCACAAACGCTGCACACACCAGGCATCCAGTATTGTGGACATTCCCTCCCAGCCCTCCTGCAACCTCTTTGCCCTTCTACCATCTGGTACAAGGTATCGCAGTATACAGGCTAGCTCCACCACACTCCGTAACAACGTTTTTCCACAGGCTGTCAGGCTCCTCAGCACCCTGGTACCTACTGCACCTACTCCAAATCTGAAAACCTAGTTCTTTTTTGCCTAATGTCAGGGATCCTGTCTGCTGTCTATGTCTACATTGTTTATAGCATTGCCTTGTCAGTGTCTTCTCTGTAGACCTGAGGAACGATATCTAGCTCCTCTGTATACAGTACTTTTATATGGCTGGATTGACAAATAAACTTGAACTTGATACTAATCCTACAGTGTAGGAGAGGTGAACTGAATGTGAAGAAGGATCAGGAGTATGGAACGTACGTATAATGAATATTTATTGGAAGTCAGACAGCAGAGATTTCAGTAGCCTTCTAAAAGCATGCTCTCTCAGACATGCTCTCTCAGAAGTTCTTTAAACATAGTTTATTACCTATCATGTCAAAATATCTGTAAACGTCCTCCTATGTACAGTAACATTATTTCATATTCACAAAGTAATGCACAAAATGCATGCGTGACCAGTAATCTAAATTTTCACCCTCTTCATTCATCCTTATACGGGAGTTTTGTGTCCCCTTCAGCATCTAACACAGACTTGTTTTAAAGCCTAGGGCTTGTGAATTAGAATTTGTAATCAAATTTGTAGTTAAAAGAATGTTTTTTTAACTCTGAGGACCATTAGAACTCAGTGGGTCTGGTGCTTTTAGATACGCTGCAGAGGTTCAGATAAAATACCAAGGTTAAACCTCTTTTTCTTTTTAAAGCAGCATTCCAGTTTTCCCTCTGTAGTGGAAATTGGTCAGAGGCTGAATGCATTTACTGACTTCAGCTGATAACACATGGGACATCTATTCCTTACTGTTCCTAAAATCCCACCTATACTTTTCAATAGATTATATTTGCTGTGTTTATATGCTATTAAGTGCACTACAAATGAAGGGACTTAGTATATGAAGGCGGTATTTATTAGCTGTAATTATTGGAGCGTTAAATCATATTGTACTATATATGTTTCAGCCAATTAAAACTACCGTATATACCATCTATTTTAGTGCATACAGAAGAAAAAGGCAAGGTCTATCAAAAGTGGCACAGATTTCATTCATGAATGAACATTTCACACAGAGGAGGGCACATTGCAATCCCAGTAAGCAATCCCCTTTATTTTACAGGCTCATATCTTTCCTCTATAATTTTAAACAAAAGATTCTCCTTTCTGAAATTTCTCCACCGTCCACTGAAGACAATAAGTAACTACACACGGATACCACAGCTTTTTTTGCAGTACACGTTTAATAGATGGTTGTGCAAATGGTTCGATCGTTTGTACAGTACGAAAATGTTCATGTTTACTCTCAAAATGTTTAAAAAACATTTATAGTTTTATAAGGGTATTTGTTGTCCTTTAGAAACCAAACTCTAGTGGTGATCAGCTCTAGAAGGTAAAAAACCTGTGGATTTCCTGTTGATCCTATGACTGCCTATGGCAGTGGTTCTTAATCTGGGGTGCACTCACCTCCTGGGAGTGTGAGATGCCCTTGCTGTGGGTGCAAGACATCAGATTTTTCAGAAGGTAAATCATCAACACAAATTAACCACAGGCATGTGGTTAATTTGTGTACAGATACAGCTACTTTGTCATCAAACCTAGGTATTTTAAGGCAAACTTAATTTTTCATGTCTTAATGTAGCGTGAAATTAAAATAAATATCTTTAATGCTAAAAAGCAAAACATTTTCATGTTATTTTTTATTTCACTGTAAAATTAAAAATAAGATAAAATTCTCCCTTTCAATTCTATTGATAAGAAATATTTAAGCTTTAAAGAACAAGCCTTAATTAATTCAAAATTGTTGAAGTAGGTTAAAAAACAGGGACTACACATTTTTAAGTGTTCTCAGACATGAGCGTTTAATGAGTTTTCTTGAAGTTCTGATGAGCAGATCTAGAGGTCTCAGGAAAGGCTGTGCTGATAGATAAGAACCTGAGAACGATTTCAGACAAGAGAAGGGCCTTTGATCAGCTGAATTTATTTAGTTGCTAGTAGCTAAGTGATCCAAATCTCATCCAGCCATTTCGTAAAAGAAGAGAAGGGTTTGATTTCAATTATATGGCTGGGCAGCTTGTTTCACACTCCTTTTTTGTTTTGAATTGCTGTTCTCGATCGAAAAAAAAATCTCTTTTGTTTCTGCTTCTGTCCTGTAGATTCCGTTTCCCTGCTGCTCTTTAAATCCATTGAGTTGATTTTGTTAACATGCTTGAGGGTTCTGAATACTTGAATTGGTCAGGACTAAGAAGTTCAGGACTAGGTTTTTTATTTTAATTATAGTTTTTTTATTGTTAACGGGCCACTGAAACACATTTATTTAACCACGGGAATATGTTTAGCCACTGTACATTTGCCCTATTCCAGAGCAGCAATATCTTTTTCTGAGACATTAACAGTACAATATTCTAATTTATAGCACCTGATTCACTTGAACCACTAAGAGATTTATTTTGTTTTGCTGTTTTTCTTCAGTAAATTTGGCATTTGCGTCTTTAATAATCTTTTTTAATAGAAGAAATGGTACAAGTTTTTCAAATTAGTTTTCTGCTTTTAGGTCTTTCCTGCTTTTGTCAGGAGACCTAGAAAATAAGAACATAAGAAAAGGAAAGATAGATTTTCTCCAATCTAGCTTGTTAGGTAGTTAGTTTAAAAGTGATGCAAGGATATCAGCTTTAACAACATGGTCGGGTAGCTTGCTTCTTAATGCCATGACCCTTTAGGTGAAGAAGGTCTACCTGTTTTTGGCTTTTACTTCCTTTTCATGTACAGGTTGTCCCTTTTCTGGAATCAGGTTCATGTTTTACTGTTTATTTTCTGAATTGCTAACACTGTTCTGCTGTCTTTTTTGTCATTTAGATAGATCTCTGAAGGTATCAGATTCTGCTTTTTATTATTTCAACAAAGCTTGTTCAGTTTGAATTTAATTAAACCTTTTAATCATTCCTTAAAAATAAGTAATAAATTCCCCTCCAGGTCCTTCAAATACAGTTAATCAATTTAATGTGATAGGGACTGGGGAATCACTGCATTTGGAGACCAGTCAGAGACACAAGACTGCTCTGAGATGTATCTGAAATATAAAACAATTACAGTTGTTTTATATTTCAGGGCATACAGTATTTAATACTGCAATTCTGGAAAATTGTAGGATTACTGTTGTTCAAGTTTTGAGTGGGGACCTTTCTTATAAAAGGGAGCACAGACAGTGACAGGTCATCTGGCTACATACAATGTTAAAGTAAGATCCTTTTAAAAAGTAATTCCTTATACTTTTCACAAGAACAAGCAACTTGTAACTGTAATGGATTACTTTTTAAAAACCCTTTCCCTACATGTGTTGTCTATGCATTTATTTATCAGAGAACTATATTACTAATTGACACATTTCAGTGAAGTAAGAGATTAACAGTAAAGTTAAAATGTAATTTTTCAGAGGACACTTGCTTTTTTCTAACTCGAAAGAAATGGAAATAAAATACCTCAGATAAGTAGATTAAAAAGTAACACCAGTGTTGAAGACAAGTTTTCTGACACCCTCTTTCCCTCCCAATGCTCACCAAAAACAAAAGCAAAGTGTTTTTTTAAAAAAAGAGGGAATACTAAATTATTTATGGTTTCTCTTTTTGCCCACCAGGTGTGACAGCATCCATTTTCTCCTCTGCTAGATCATTCCTGCCAACCAGGGAGGGAGAAACAGCCCCACTGTTCCCAGAATGCAAACCATTATGAACATCCAGAGGAATATCCTGTCTATCACCATCGCAACGTACTTCCAGTCCTCTTTCACCTGAAGAAGAAAGAAAACCCAGTCAGACATTTACAGTACTTCAGCCCGATCACTTGTTAAAGCTGCTTTCCATTTCTCAAACTGGTTTCACGAGCCGTTGATTTGACAAAGACAGCAGCGCATCGCTCAGTGCTGCTGTCTCTGTGAACACCTTCGTCTCTCACTGCTCCTTTGACAATGTTAATGTTGTGAATAGTCTGTGTAAAAATTTCAAAGAGATTTAGCTAGTTTTCACCCCAAGAGCAGCCTGATCTTTTTATTCCACCCAAGCAACATTCCATCACTGTCAAGAACGTTTGTGCTACACAGATGATAGGATTGGACAGTGATTAAGGAGAATACTGTGCTGAAACTGCTGTTGAAAGACCCAATAGCAAATGTAATTCTGGAGCAGTTAGTCTCGAAACAAATCTGTCTTCAAATCATCAAACATCGTCCACAGTTTCCTGACTACAGATTTGCTCCTGTGGTTTCTCCTCCTCTCTTTTTAACCCAGAATGGGATTTCTGCACTGAGCAAAAAAAGTTGAAAGAGCAGCAATAGTTTTTAATTCTGTTTTTTTTTTCTTGTCACATGCCTCCATAAGTGAAAACAACACAATTAATTCCTGCATTAGTGCAGTCCAAAGCACTTAAACTGCTACAGGGTGCACTAAACCGTTCATTGTACTAATACATGTAGAATGTTCGAAATGCAAAACACATAAGCTTAATTAAGTTATAATAAGGTTCAACTGATTAAATCAAACACTCAAGGCTGTGCTCCTCTTTAAACAAACAACTGCAGGATTATCAGATTGATGCTTTGTATCTCAGAAAAATAATGTGAAAACCACATCAAAACTGAATTTATACCACTTAAAGGGCTAATTTCCCCCAGATGTTTTGTCTTAGCTAGATCTAGGCACAGAGACTTAGATATTGAAGGTGCCACAGTGTAAACTTACACTGTTTATCTAAATTATAATTTAATCTGTATAATGTCTCTAAAACATATTGCCATAGCAGTTGCAGCAACATTTCACCCCTGTTATTTTTTCCCCAGCACTCATGCCTTATAAGAAGCAGAGCTGTGCAATCTCAGCAGAAAGTGAAGAACAATCAATTCCGTTTTTCTTTACCCCCCTGCCAATAAGCATTTCTAATTCTAGCCAGGATTTGCAGTAGGGATGATTTCCATTCTGAAGCACAATAGCACTGGGACAGCCGAGGAATTAGCTTCCTTAAATAGCAGCATAAGCCATGCAGCGTCACAATGTCCATGGTAAGTATGGATTTTGTCATACACGGCTTAAAACCATTACTAGAGAAACGTGATCTTGCTGTCCTGCATACCTTTGCCTGTCTGTGTGCAAGGAATAAGTTGGATTGTGCAAGGTGATTCTAAGGCCACACTTGGCTTTAGCTACAGTTGTGTCTGTGGAGTTTTGGGCATCAGATTTTTCAACAAGGTTATTGGAAGTGTTTCTCTGGACAACATTGTAATTCGTCAATTCGAAGCTAAAAATAAAGAAATACAGAGTTTAGTCTTTTGGCCCATTTAAAAACCTAATTCTTTTCATTTGAATTCATCCTGCTTTCACCTCATTTCACAAGGAACCTTTCATTTGAATTCTTAAGCATGTTTTCCGGGGTTTTTTTTCTAGGAAACTCGGGGCTCAGTTTACCAGCCCTGTATTTTGTGTACTCTAATGTATTCCCTGTGCTTGGAACTGTATGCCTGAAGTGGCTCGATTGCTTTTGGCAGCAGTTTTCAAATGTCAGCCTGTGATCAATTAGATTATGCATGAACACACTTGATGTTGATTTTGAGAGGCAATGTTTGAAAGCAGAAGGTCATTTGAGGTCAACATTGCCTGGTCATTGGTTATATATTAGTATGTCAGCTAGACAGAAATGCGATCAGCTTTTTATAGATGAACTTTAGGGACCCACGATTCCAAAATGGGAAAATTGTCACCTTACCTAATTTATAATGGAGTGGGCAGATCGCTCAAGAATTATGCAGAGAGGAAAATAAAGACCTACAGTAGGATGCCCTCACCCATGGAACAAGCTTAAAACTAGAAACTAGACACTCAGCTCTCCATGTGCTACCTGTCTGCAGGGAACAGTAAGAGGAAGCGAATTTTGTGAATGGTCTTAGAAAATAAATTTGAGAGAAATGCATGGTCTCAGAATCATGGTAATAAAATACACTCCTTGTTTGTTTTTGCACGTAGTGAAGATCCTTGCATCGAGAGGGATGTGGTTTCAGGAGGTCTATTTAATGGATCTCCTGAGAATTAAGGGGTTGAAATATTTATGTTCCAAAGAGATGGTGTAATTCTAACTTTCAGTTGCGTTTGGCCTTTTAAAAAAAACAAACTAGCATCACAACATTTTAGCATTGCGTTACAAATGCCTTACTAATTAGAATGTAATTAGTTACAGCTTTTGTGAAATGGTAATACTGCCCCAAGACAAAGACAGAGAAGAAACTGCAAGAAAGTGTGTAATGCTCAGCAAGTGGGTTACTGTAATGCTCTTCTAGATATAATCATGCCTCTGTGGAAAGTTGGTTGCCTGGCTGTACCTTGAGATCTGTTTCTTGAAAAGCTTAGGAAGCGTCTTTCTCAGATTTTTACATATGGGAAAGTGGGAGCGGAAAACTGAATGACAAAACCTACAGAAAAATCTGCATCTTCCGCCCTCAGGTGACCCGCGATGTACTGCACCCCTTCAATGGCCAGCTTCATGGAAGGGGACATCAGGAGGATGTGCTGCTCTTTGGCGCTGAACAGTTTCGCTGCCCTCTGGGAAGACATGGCCGTCTCCGGGATCTTTGTGCACTTCCAGGGGGCCTGGCCGCTGTCAGTTCCCTCGTCCGCCAGCAGGTGGCTCTGGAGCGTCGGGGACCTGCTACACTTGCCGCTGGCGTGCCCGTTGCTCTGGGACGACTCCTCATGCAGGCAGCAGTACTGGATGCTCCTGGACCTGCAACGGGCTGTGGTCTGGGGGAGCTCCCTTTCACCAAAGGAGTACTGGACGCTTAAAGACCTGGTCTTGGGGAAGGAGCACGGCTTGTCTGGGGCCAGTAGGTGCGAGGCAGGAGGGGAGGAGCAGCCTGGCTGGCTGGTTTCCTCCAGGAGGATGGAGTATTGGCTGGAGGGGGACTTGCAGAGCAGCTGCACCTTGGCTGGAGGATCTTCGAGGGGGTGACACAAGGGCGGGGTGGAGGTGGGTGGGGGACTGTCAGGACTGTCCAAGGGCGAGCTGGGGAAGGTCTGCTCGGCCTCGAAGGTCTGTTCGGACCAGAACGTGGGGGTGCTCCCCTTCTTGTGCATCATCTCGATCAGCTTCTTGCAGTTTTCCTTCACCGTCGTGGGCCTCTTCATGAACAGGACCCGGGGGACGATGTCCAGGAAGACCCTCCGCACCCAGTGGGGCATGGTGTGCGTCCGGGGAGAGCGGTGGTGGACGTTCAGCACGAAGACGGTGATGATGATGGAGAGGGTGACGAAGATCATGGTGAAGAGCAAGTACTCCCCGATCAGGGGGATCACCAGGGAAGTGGACGGGATGATCTCCGTGATCAGGAGGAGGAAGACGGTCAGGGAGAGGAGGACCGAGATGCAGAGGGTGATTTTCTCCCCGCACTCAGAGGGCAGGTAAAACACCAGGACGGTCAAGCAGGAAATGAGCAGGCACGGGATGATCAGATTGATGGTATAAAACAGTGGCAGCCTCCTGATGATGAAGTAGAACGTGATGTCGGGGTAGATTTCTGTGCAGCACTCGTATTTCTTGGTGTTGTACGTCCCCACGGCGTCGACGATCACCCATTCCCCGCTCTCCCAGTAGTCCATCTGGTCCACGTTGTTCGCCATGCTCACCAGGTCAATCTTGGCCTTGTCGTACGTCCAGGACCCAAACTTCATGGTGCAGTTCTGCTGGTCGAAGGGGAAAAAAGTGACATCGATGCTGCAGGAGCTCTTGTAGATGGCTGGGGGCATCCATTTGATCTGTCCATCATGAAAGAGGTGCGCTTTAGTAAGGTGAGTGACAGCAAAGTCTCCATCGGCACTGTAGGTAGACAAGAAAGGTCACCAAACATACCTTACTAACAATGCAGTCTTGAAACAGTAGAAAACTACACTTTGATTTTTTAAACCCAGAATGCTTTTGCTCTGTCTTATACTTAATTGGAAATGTGATCATCAGCACCTGGGTTAAACAATTAAGGATTAGTTCAATTAGGGTCCACAGCCCTCTGACGGCATGGAGAGCAAACTACCTCTGAACTAAAGCATTAAAAAATCCTGCTGGACCAGGGTTCAAGTTCTGAAGTTGTACTGTACATCACTATAGCAGTTGGCTGGAGCAGTAACCAGATATAACTAACTGTGGAAATGAATGAACAGGAATTTTTCCGTTTGGTTGTAAGTGTTCTGTTGCACTTCAAAAGAAAGTTCGATGGCCTAGTGTCAGTGCTATATTATGAAGTAATGATATTCCTCTAATTATTAGATAGGCTATGCTGTTTATATGATTTGTTTGATGCACATAAGGTCTGTTTACATTGCCTTACACAGTACATTGCTAATGCCTCGTATGTTAATATAATTTTAAAACACTGTGCAATCTCAAACACCAGAGTACAATACACAAGTCATTTTTCTGTCCTTTTCAGTTACTCTGTATTGAAACCATTTGTACACATGAAAACACTGCATTTTACTGTTATAAGGCAGAAGAGCACTTTTAGCAACAGACTGCTTCAGCTATGGTGTTCAAGGGAACTTTTCCGCAGGTCCTTCCTCCCGGCGGCAGTCAGGGTGTATAACACTGCCCTAGGCTAGGACTGTTAGCCCTTCATCTGCTCGTCTATAGACAACATGTTGCACTATTGTACTTTTTGGACACTCAATCTGTATATACCTATGCACATTTTTCACATTTTTTATTGTTTTACAGTGACTATGAGCATATTTTGCACACACCTAACTATGTATTTATTTTATATTACTGTATATATTTTTGTCTATTCTGATGTCTGTTTTTGCTTGTCTAGGGCTGGGCTGCTGTAACACCTCAATCTCCCTTCGAGATCAATAGAGTCTCTTTCTATCTACTTCAGACCAAAGATGCTAATGAAAAAAAGAAATTTCAAATCAAAATATAATTATTTATTACCTAATGCAGGTGAGTGATAAGTGTACTGCATTCTGATGTCTACATTATGTGTCTATCTGTATTTTAATACCTTATCATCTGCTACATTCGACAAGAATTGGAAGACGTGTAGTAGATGCTTTAATCAACGGTGACTGACAGACACTGGAGGTGGGACAGCTGTAGCTGCAGGGCCCAATATGAGGACACACAGCTGGGAGATTCTGAAATGTGTTCAGAGTGACACTGGGACATGGGGGCTTAAACTGGGAACTTTAACTTAACCACTGGTCCAGCTGGACTTTCAGTTAGATAGCAGTAAAGTGTATTTGCCAGCTGCAACCTGAACAGGTTGGCAAGACATCATTGCAGGCTAGTGCAGGTCCAGTCAGAACATACTTGTTGTAGAGGACGATGTCTGGCCTCCAGATGAGTTCGGATGGGATACGGATTGAGGTGACATTCTCATAATCTTGAGGGTTCCACCTTAGTTTGTAGTCATGCCATTCCTGTTTGAGAGAAAGAAGGGAGAAATGAGCACTGTGGGTAAGACTTCACAGTGGAAGTATTGCACTGTGGGTAAGACCTCCTGCAAGACTGCAACTGTCCTTTCTTCATCTCTGGCAACATCAGTGAAGGAATGGCTTACTTGTTTGACCCAGACATTTGTAGTCATCATCTGGTTCTTCTCATCCTGTAGATGTGAAGACAAAGTAAAGAGAAATTAAAATGGACTCTGACATCGCAACAGGCACACACTTTTACAGGGAAGGCTGCTCAAGGTGATCGAGTACATAATCCTATGCTGAAAGTCAAAGAAAAATCAAACTTTCTTTTATGCTCTTTGTTTCTTTCTAGCTAAACCGGGAAAAAATCATTGCTTACACTTATATAGCGCTTTTCTGGACACTCAACTAAAGCGCTTTACAGGTAATGGGGACTCCCCTCCACCACCACCAATGTGCAGCATCCACCTGGATGATGCGACGGCAGCCATAGTGCGCCAGAACGCTCACCACACATCAGCTATTAGTGGGGAGGAGAGCAGAGTCATGAAGCCAATTCAAGATGGGGATTATTAGGAGGCCATAATTTGTAAGGGCAAATGGGAAATTTGGCCAGGACGCCAGGGTACTCTTTTCGAGAAATGCCCTGGGATTTTTAATGACCACAGAGAGTCAAGACCTTGGTTTTACATCTCATCCGAAGGACAGAGCCTGTTTACAGTATAGTGTCCCTCTCACTGTACTGGGGCATTAGGACCCACATAGGCGGCAGGGTGAGCGCCCCCTGCTGGCCCCACTAACACCTTTTCGAGCAGCAACCTTAGTTTTTCCCAGGAGGTCTCCCATCCAGGTACTGACCAGGCTCACACCTGCTTAGCTTCAGTGGGCTACCAGTTGTGAGCTGCAGGGTGATATGGACATTTTATTTATTTTTTATTCATATAAAATAAAATCATGACTTTCCATCTGCTCAGTATGCTTTCCATATTTCCATATTTAGAAGTTGTTGTTCTCTCTGTAGATGTTGTAAATCCATCTGAAATAGAGCTCTGAAGTTCTTCATGGCTAGGCGTGACAAAGTATGTCTGTTTCTGGTCCTGCCAAGATGCGATTCCAGTCGCTCATGGGCTCACGCAGTGGCACTCACTAGATAGCAGATTACCCCACCACACCAAAACATCATGTGATATACAATGATATCAAGAGAATCTTACATCACACCGCTAGTGTGGCTCTATTCTGCCCCTACCAGAATTGAGTTACAGACACTAGCAGGCTCAGCCAGTGGAGAATTCACCAGTGCCACAGCAACAGGTCCTCTACCGCTACAAAGGGGTGATGTCACTTCTGTAATGTGTTCAGCGCACTGAGCCAAGATAGACAGGGTCCAACCACCCAGCTGTTTTCTAGCTGTTTGTTCCAATTCAGGATCATGGGGAAACTGGAACCTATCCTGGCAAACGAAGGGTGCAATGCAGGGTATACACTGGATGGGACGCCAATCCATTGCAGGGCACATCTGGACACAAACAGGCACAGACTCACACTAGAGTCAGAAGCCAATTAAACTACTGGTATGTTTGTGGGCAGTGGGAGGAAACCAGAGCACCTGGAAGAAACCCACATGAACCTGGGAAGAACATACAAAATCCATACAGGTAGCACCCCAAGAACTGAACCCAGATTGCGAGGCAGTGATACTAACCATTGTGCCACTCTAGGATCAATGTCACTGTCAGAGAAGTTTATACTGTACAGAATATTTTCATAAATTTAAAAGGCAGCCATTTAATTAGGTCCTCCTGACAGGATAACTATTTTTAAATGTTCGCAAACAGAAAATCTCTGAAAACAATTCCTTTAAAGAGAGAAAGAGCTACTTTGAAGTAAGTCAGTTTCATCGGGTCACAGCATATTAAAATGCAACAATAACATGAATGAAGGTATGAATATGGAATTTAGAATGAGGGGATGAAAAAGTAGCTCAAAATGTCTGAATAACATACAGGCAATTGAATAGTTTCTTCATCTTGTATAAAACTACATTTCTGGGCATATAATAAAATTAAAGAATTTTGAATATTTCAGGTTTTGTAACCTGAAAATTTGTAATTAACAGGAGTGTGTATGGATCGTTTGAAAGAAGGACAAAGCCTAATTCTCAATTGCCAGCTCTCTAGGAAATAGCTAAAGGCTTCAAGAATATTGTAGCGCTCCGGGTTCATGTGTGTATGCACCCTCACCACTGCCAGCACAGGCTGGCCCCCCACTGCTGGGGACTCGAACCCGGGCCTCTGGCATCACTCGACACGGACCCAGCCAGTTGAGCTAAAGGGAAATCTCCCGTCAGCCTGGCTATGCTGCGGTCCCTGATATTCACAGGGAAGGGGGGTGACGTCACCGCGCTGGTGAGCCGTCTCGAACAACCTGCAATGTCGACCGTATGCGTTACAATATTATTTCACAGCATTCAGATGACTGACACCCTTGCAACATCCCCAGTACTACTGTCAATTTATTTGATCACAGCAGAGGGTTCTCATGTCTGCCTGGCCATTGCCCCTTGGGCAAAGTGAGTTTAAGTCTAACATCAATTCCGTCATGTTCCTTCTTAATCACAATTGCATTTCAGAGGATTGTCTGGAAACGATCAATAGTAAAATGACCTCAAGGTTGTCACCCTTGAGGTTAGTAGTCCACCATACTGACACAGAATGTAAACCTGTACCATAAAATTAAAAATGTGTCTTTAACTTTTGATCCGGATTTGCATGCATCCTCATGAGAACTAAGTTTTTACTTTCTGCGTCTATGAGTTTCATGTCATCTTTCAGGGACATATCTACAGAGGCAGTTGAGAATTAGCTGTACGCTGTTGGTAATTTATTTTATGATTTTTAATTAATGGAGCTGAAGCAATGGTTGGCCTAAGTGGATGATAGGGGACTGAGACCTCCTGCAAGCAGAGGCTACTTACCACGTCTATGAGCTGGGCAATGGACAGGCCGAACCGTACCAGGACCACATCAGAGATATTGGCCACTGGACGGGACAGCTTGTTGTAGCCAGTGAAGAGATTCTTTAGGAGCCTCTCCTCAGCATGGGCCCGTACTGTTGTGTGGCCATAAGCTGTGAGGAGGAGAGCCTGTGTTAAAGTCCAAATCTTAGACACAGAACAGGACCTTTGACAACCTAGTAAGCTCCGAACCACAACCATAAGTGATAACCTCACTTCTGAGCCAAGGAAAGCAGATTTAGGGTTTGCATCCACAAAGGCTTTTAAAATAGTTTTTCCTTTTGCAGCTCCTCATGTCAATATATTTTTTCCCACCCAGATAACAGTAAAATAAAATGCATAAGTCATCCCACAGGTCCAGGAATCCTGCTGTAGAGCCTACTACCGTATAATATACAGTGCCTCACCTGCTTCTGAAATGAGAAATTTTACACAACAGTAGATACGTCTGGGGCTTATTCTGAAAATACACTCAGCTAATATATCATCCTCGTCTTTTGCACAGGGGCTAACATTAATATCACCTGCTGGCCGTCCGTAGATAATGTTTACCAGTCACTTGTCAATTTACTTTAAAAAAGGACCTTAGGCTGTCTTGGCTGCTCTGTGGCTCACTTATGAACTGTGGTTTTGTTCACCCCCCTCCCAAACCCCCACAACCTCAGATGAGACATTTTGTATTGGCAGCTGATACTTTGGTGATATGTGGGTAAATTCTTTACTACTAGATAGCACATTCTGGGGCTGTGCTTGGGTGTAAAGACCCATGGGAAAGGCAACAAACAAAAATGTCACACAGGGCACATCTCAATACCTGAGATTGAATCTTACTCAGTTGTAAGTCTCCTACTACATGTAGATTAGCTGCATTTGTGGGTGTGTTCAATTTGAACAGTCCAAATAACCCAGTGCAGCAAATTGCTTATTGAACTGCAAATCTCTTTTAGCCCTTTCTTAACAGACCCCAGGGATTCAGCTTCAACTATGAGGCCGGTCAGTGTGTCCCACACACCCACGGCCCTTGAAATGTGTCCAGGTCTTAGCCTTCAATGCACACTTTCTGAATTTCCACTGATGTCCTTGAGTCCTTGCCTCACTGTTAGAAAAGGTGTCAATCTGAAGAAGGCTCCACAGCCAAAACGTTGTGTTTCTTTTCTTCTCTTTCCAGCATATGATTCACCCTTTACTTGTTCCTTTGCAGCCTTCGCATGCTGACACAGTTACCTACCTGAACTAAGTATTATGTGAGTTGACCTTTTCACTGTCTTTCAGGTTTTTACATACTTGTATCCTTTCTTAGTCCCCTCTGTTTAGAACTAAAAGGATTCAGCAGTTTTCACCTCTGTTTGTCCTTAATTAACCTTCTCACTCTCCTTTGAACTGCTTCCTTAAACGTTCTTCTGGTGATTACAATGTCAGCCAAAACTTGTTACAAGAGCATAAGAACCTTCCAAACCTGTTTTGACAGAAATCCTCATTTCAGCATATGTGGAAACATCTGGTTAGGACTTTTAATTGCTTCTCTTCATTGCTGAGATGAGGACATTGATGTGTCTACATAACCATTATCAGCTCTGCTGCAGATACACATTCTCAAATTACTCAGAGATCCTGTTAGATCAAACCCTTTCACAGTCAGAGTTGGAAATGTTACTGCAGCAGGTTTTTATACAGTATGTGAAGTTAGGGTTCAGGTTGTTTCCTTTAGGACATCTTAGGTGCAAGAGGAAAGGGACACACATAGAGGGACAAGCACCCTGGGGACATTCATGATTTGGCTGTCTTTACTGCAATGGATCAGTGAGCTGAATTAATTTGCTTACAAATTGCATACACGCATTTTACCAGTCTGAAAGTCTCTCTCAGCAGCAGAATGCTGTGCCCTGTCTGGTCTACGTCTTCACATACTCACGGAGAATGAGTACACCCAACTGAACGTCACCATGAACATCATCACTGGAACCCTACGCTCCACCCCAATCCCCTGGCTCCCTGTCCTACAGTAGCAGATATCACTCCTCCACACACCCAACAACTCGCAATAGCCCCCAGAAATGCTCAAAGAGGTTCAAAACTCTCCTCGGCTGCCACTGCATGAGGACATATGTCCACCAAAGTCCGCCTTCAAGAAAGCCAATCTGGAAAAACGTTCTCCAACATAACTTCAACACAGACTTCACCTGGGCTTCAGCATGGGAATCACTGGACATAACAAACAAGCACCTCTTCACGTGCCCAACACAACAACTTCCCAGCTTGCACCTTCCAAGAAAAAGTGGTCCCCTCTAGACTGCTTTAGGACTGGTCCATGTCTTGGCAGCCTCTCGAACTGGGCATTAGTACAGCCCTCTTTGCTCCTGTGGGACAGAGCAAACTACAGTATGTAGTCCATCCTAAGGGCCTTCCCATGCCACAGTCTCAGTGAAGAGCTACACAACCCCAACACAGCTGAACAAGAGGCTATCGTTTAACTAAGGCACTTTATTTTAAAATACATTTTAAAGTCTAAAACATGTTTAGGTGTTAATGAGGGAAGAAAGTAACTTTGTGTTTGGATGTTTTTAAGCTTCATCATTGTTTTTACAAAAGGCTTCCATAAGTAAAATTAAGACTATAAATATCAACTACAAAGATGTTACTGCAAAGTAAGCAAAGTGCTAATATAGGAAAAGGAGACAACGCACCCTCTTTTAATACTGTGTCCCAATTTGGTTTAAGATTATTCAGAGCTAAACTAAAATAGTTTTGTCTGCCTTGTCTCTTGCAATCTAATTTAATTGATGAGGGCTCATGGGGGAGATTAAACAACTGGAAGAGACAATATATGTGCCCAAAATTCAGAATGGGTTTTGGTCATTGGTGTCCTAATTTCTATGTAACTGAAAGACTCAAAATTAAGTTCTTTACTACCATTAGAGTAGAGATTTTGTCAAGCTACACTAAAGACAAGGGAGCTTTAGTTTAACTGTAGCAAATACTATTGTCTGCATTTCAAAAGGTTTTTCTGCGCTGCAAGCTCTTATCATTTACTCCAAGAGCAGATTAACAAAAAACATTCTTCAGGAGCTTTGCAAGTTTTTGATTTTATATGGAGCCCTCTAGGCATCATAGCGACTGCAAGCACAGTGGTTGAAAATACAGGATTCACTTAACCATTTCCCATTGGTTTGGAGAGAATACTGCTGAAAATCTATTGTTAAGCATATTTAACTGTTTGTATATTATTTTTTGCCATTTAAATCACTGTGGAATAAAATTTTTGATTCAGCTCTTAACAGGAGTGTTGAGATTTTGTCAAAACGTCATTTTCAGCTCAAACAAACACGTTTTGGTAAATTGGGGCATCCCAATGTTACTGTTTTGGCCAGAATGTATGTCTGTAGAAAGGTGATGGAATAACCAGAAACATCCACCTGTTTTTTTAGAAAACTGCTTCCTCCTGATCAGGGCCTTGTCACCCCAGAACCTGTCCCAAAAGCATAGACTATAGGGACTATATTCTGGATGGGAGAGCAGCCCATCACGGGGCACAGACACAAACACAAGCATTATTTAGAGACACAGATGCTCTTAGTCACCATGCCTGGCATAAACCAAGGTGGCATAAACCCAGAACACCTGGCAAAACCTCATTGTGAATGTGGCAAGAACATGCAAGCTCCACCCTGAACATACTCCAGTCCAGAGTCGAACCCAAGACCCAAGAGCTATGAGATCGCAGTGCAGACCTGACCATAATTGCCTTTCTCCCACACAAACTACTATTGGATTGTAATCTTTTGTAACTGTTACTGTGGACATTACAAGACGAACCAAGAGGTCACCATGTATACACACAGTCATTATGTACTGTTAGAGAAACACAGAGCAAAGCCTTATCCAATATTTCCTACTTAAGTTTGAAAGAGGTGAATGATGAATGAGACAGAAAGATCACTTGTTAGTCACATGCGAGAATACATTCAATACAACTGACCTTGAGTTGTTGCAAAACGTGAAGCAAAGATTCAGTGGATGCAAGCCATAAGAAAGGAACCTGAATTGACATTATGATGCTAAAGCTAGTTTGCCAAATGACATCATAGCTTTGAAAAAAGAGAGGATGTACTGTAACTCATCACTATCTTAGGCTTTTTTTAAATACACATGGGGGAAACAGGAGCTTGAAGTTTAGTGACAGTTTGTTTCAGCCTGGGGCTGTTACTATTTTAATTTTCAAACAGACCAACAGACAAACAGTAGTAAAGTGGAAATTTGCAAGTATAACCTTAACCCACTTTGTGTTTTCTCTTTCCTTTGGAGGCTAATGATGACAGATTCATCTTTAAAACACAGTCCCCCCCCCAGACTGGTACTAATGTTGAAAAACAAATTATTTATTAAACACATTTTATTTTACTTTTTTGGGAAAGAATTAATGGCATATCTGGGCAAATTGAAGTTTTGTAACAGGCTGCATTGAACTTGTTTCGAAAGCAGATTTGTTTTGCTCATATATACATTATATGGTTTGTAAGATTGAACTTTTCAATTTTTAAATTAATAAACATTAATCACAACAGACAGATTTGCCCTTCGTCCTGTCTAACTGTAGTGAATCAATACTCAGACTGTGACAGTACCCAACTGACCTTTTTAACTTTACTTGTTCCTTTTCCACCAGAATTATGTGAAAGTACCAAATTACTTTATTTATACTGTTTTCTTTTTCAGAGTCAGACATCTCCAGACTTTCATAGATCTATATAGTAGCTTATTTTTATCTGCAAACACGTAAAATAGAATAAACTGCTCCTCCAGTTTTCAGAAACTCTAATTCATTTTGAATATTGATTTAGAATACAGTGCTACACAGATGTATTGGATGTATTGTAAAAGCCTCGTGATTGCTTTATAGTAACATCTGAATGTGAAACTATTTAATATACTGTATACAGTAAGTGTACATTGCCTTGCAAAAGTATTTACCTTCTTCCAATGCTGTCTGATTTTTGTTGAAATTACACATAATCCTAAATAATCCCTACATTTATACAGCTTTCTTTCTGGACACTGCACTCAAAGCATTTTACAGGTAATGGGGACTCCACTCCACCACCACCAGTGTGCAGCCCCACCTGGATGATGTGAAGGCAGCCATACTGCACCAGTACACTCCCCACACACCAGCTCTCACTGAGGAGGAGAACAGAGTGATGAAGCCAGTTCAGAGATGGGGATTATTAGGAGGCCAATAGGAAATTTGCTCAGGACACCGGGGTAACACCCCTAATTTTTAATGAACACAGAGAGTCAGGACCTGAATTTTATGTCTCATCCAAAGGATAATGTTGTTTAACAGTATAGTGTTCTTGTCACTACACTGGAGCACTAGGACCCACACAGACCACAGGGTGAGCGCCCCCTACTGGCCCCACTAACACTTCCAGCAGCAACCTTGTTTTTCAGGAGCAGTTTTTCCCAGGAGGTCTCCCATCCAGGTACTGACCAGGCTTACAGTGGGTCGGCTATTGTGAGTTGATATGCAGTAGCTGCTGGCTAAGGGTAACCTATGCCAGAGTCACATACTGTAGCGTCGTCTCTCACCCTCACACCTCACACCAGAGGTTCCACTCTCTTGCTATACCGATTAGACACAGATTGAACCTCTTTTCCCCAGCTGGCCAAATTCCCCCTGGCCTTTACCATTGATGGATACAAACAATGAATTATTAAGATGATTTGTTGTATTCCACATTTTTTAAAAAGTAAATACTTTTATGGATGAAAGGTGTTAAACATCACCGCTAAGAAAAATCCATCTATCCATCCAATTTCTAACCGCTTCATTCAATTCAATTTTTGGCAGCAAGCAATGGGTGCAGGGCAGGATACACCCTGGATGGGATGTCAGTTTATTGCAGGGCACACACTGACACAGACATACTGTATACACACATCAGGGCAAATCAGAAACTCAAATATGAATTGCCTAGGTGCAGTCAGTGTTCACCCCCCCCCTTTTCTAAGACAAACTTGAATTAGCTCAGGCACACACACACTCCGAAAAGACCTAGTTTTTAGTTGACTGTCTTCTGCTTCTTGTGCACTGTAAGGTTCCCCAGTGAGGTAGTGTATCTGAAGCAAATAATCAACCGTGAAGGCCAAAGAGCTTTTGAAACACCTCGGACATAAAGCTGTAGAAAGGCAGGAACAAATCAGATCGTGGGCAGGGTGAGGCTGATCGAGAAAGGGAAAGTGTATCGTACCACCCAGGCAGTCCCCAGATCAGGCTGTCCCTATACTTAGGAATGCTACCATGCGGCCAACAGCACCTTATGAAAGAGCTACCAATTTCCTGGAGAATCCACAAAGCTTGCCTGTATAGCAGAGTGGCTATACAGAAGTCTGTGATGAAGTATTTTCACTAGGAATAACAACACCTGAGAATTAAGTGTACTGACAGAAGTGTGGAGTGTTTAGTCAAAATTTGGCTGAACCTGCTTGGCTGACCTCCTGGCCAGAGGACGAAGAGGGTGGGACCCTGTACCCTGCAGAGTGAGGAGTGACCAAGGGGCAGTGGCAGAGGTGGAGATGGGGTGGAGGTGGGATGTAAAAAGACATATGTGAGGGAGAAAAGGGGATCACTTACAGTATTTCATAGTGTTTTTAGGAGAGGAAATGATGGTAGGAGTGATTGCTCGTTACCGAGAGCCGAGTCTGACTGTACGTGGTTTTATGTCATCCCTCCTAAACTTTTGTTACAAACTCCATTAAGTGAAACTGCAAAAAGTGGCCTGATGCATGGTCAATTTAGGTAAAGTGGACCCTTTTAATCAAACTGCAGAATGTTACGTACACTGTACATCTAGCCCAAACCCAGATCCTTACTGCCAAGCTGGTTGGTGGCTGTATGACAATGTGTTACAGTTCTCTATACGAAGGGACAGGGAAATTTGTTAAGCTTGAGGGTAAAATAGATGGAATGAAGAACAAGCAAATCTTAGAGAAAAACTTGCCGGTCTGCCAAAGAAAATTCACATACAGTGTCATGGCTTAACAAGAAGAAAGTGAAAGTCTTTGAGGGGTTTAAAGTTCTGATATGAATCTGACAGAAAGCCTGTGACAATATTGAAAAATGAGCTAGGTTCAAGTTCAAATTTATTCTCATATATCCCTGAGTACAATGAAATGCTTGTTTGTTTTCCTCACATGACAAATGACATAACGGATGACATAAAAGATGCTATACCATTGACATAGAAAATGACATAACAAAT